CTAAACCCTAAACCCAAACCCACAAGGTGTTGTGTAGAGTTGAGGCAACGGCCCAGGCGCTGGAGAACTCGTCGCGGGCCTCCTGGGTTGCAGTCCATGGTCGCTTGGGCTTGGCTTGTGAAATCTGAGGTTTAGGGGCTCGGGGTTTAAAGGTTTAGGATTTAAGGGTTGTAGTCGGAGGCTTGCCTTTTTCCGTGTGGGCTTTACTTGGGGTTGGGGAGGTTGCCTGCGATGACACGAATGAAAAATTTCATCGCGCTCCCCGATCAAACATCGCAAATCGCATGGATTTTGTCAGGGCCGAATGAAAATTCATTCCTTGGCTCGTTCCAGTAACCTTGTCAACTGAACCATGAAATCCGAAGAGCTTCCCTCTAAACTCGCAGGGTTTAGACTCAGGATATAGAACTGTAGGGGATCGTGGCTTAGGCTTTCGGGCTTCGGCTGCTGGGCTTAGAATTTTACGGTGCTTCAGAATGTTTGGGCGACAGGTTTCAAGGCTGCGGGCGCTTGCCGTGCTTGGGATTTACACTTCAGGTTGGGCTTAGATTTAGGGGTTTGAGGGTTTACGAAGGCTAAGGGAACCACAAAGGAGCTTCATAAATTGAGGGACCCTAAACCAATTTCTAAATAGTGACATCCTGCCTATAATAGAAGGACCCCTGAAGACGTTAAGAAACCCTCTAAGTCGAAGCCGCGACGCTCATCCAAGAAACTACTCAGCCCCCTCAAAAAGCTCAAAGCTACACCACCTCCAAGAAGCCCGATAAACCTCCAACAACAGACAATCCCCTCCAAGGCAGCCGCGTCGAACGTATCGCCTTCGACCTCACCCATGCACGGCTGTGGTCTTGGAACTTGAGGCTCAGATTGCGGTGTTTCGGGTTCGGGTCCTACGGTTCGGATTTCGGGTTTCGGTTGTGGGAGTGTCGGTTAAGGGTTGAGGGCTGCGTCGCTAAAGTTTAGCGGCTCTGGTTCTATATCCTTTTACTAGGGCTCTATCAAAGCCGTACGTGGGAGTCCATATGGCTTTTATACTCAAGCGACGATTTACGGTATCGGGTTTCGCACCCCAAAAAGAAGGCATAACCCCCTTCATACAAACTTAGGATCCTCTGAACCAAAACCTCCCCCACACCCCGAACGCCCCAAGCCAAGAACCCCTAAACACCTAAGACCCTAAAGCCGCCCAGACCCAAAAGTCACAGTTTAGGGTTTAGGGTTTTGGGTATAGGGTTTAAGGCTTAGGGTGTGTATACGGTGTGCGCTTTGTGGGTGCGTTTTTTGCTTTGGGAACAAGGGCGCACCCACTTATCCCGCGCTTGCGTCAGCATGTAGTAAGGGGTTCTTACTCGTGCTTCCCCTCGCAATTCGACGCATAAACGACCACGTTTCACAGTAAAACACAGCTGAGATGGATTGGTGTCGGGTTGTGGGTCCTCACGCATGTGCCGGCCGCTCAACGAGAAGCCAGGGTTTCCAACAAACAACCCCCTAAACCCTAAACCCTAAACCCTAAACCCCCCTCGCACCCTGAAGGGTTTCCCGACATGTCATCACCCATCCCGCTAGAAAAGTCGCCCCCGACAGGAGACGCTCCGGGCCCCTGCAATCTGCCAGCCTGGTGCCCCCCACCACCCCTGGGGGTACCCCCCACAACCACCCGGGCTAAACCCTAAACCCTGAACCCTAAACCCAAAACCCTAAATACCCTAAACCCTAAACCCAAAAAACACGGTGGTCGGCAATGGCGAGACGCTCGGCCGGGCGCCTCGGTCGGAGCCTCGAGCGCCCATGCAAACTGTCAGCGGCGCTCTCGGCCGTTTAGGGATCCTGCCTTACAGTATAGACCTCTTATCACAGATAGAGCCATGAATCTTGAACCCGGAACTGCTAGATACATTACGTATATAACACCTTACCAAAATCCTACTGAGCCCGTTTAAAGGCCCTCTTAACGGCCCCCTCAACTCCCATCTAACTCTAGATCCTAAACCGTCAAAAACAACCCAAAACCCTGGCCCCAGAAGCCCTAAATCTAAAACCCTGAACCCTCAACCCCAAAGCTATAAGCTCCTGCATATGGGGGTTTCCGAAAATAGGGACCCTAATATAGTACCCCAAATACTAGGATCCTTATTATAAGGACCCCAAAGTAGGGTACCCCGTATTTTCGGCTTCTCCCAAATCTAAAACCCTGAACCCTCAACCCCAAAGCTATAAGCTCGTGCATATGGGTAGCTATCAAAATTAGGGTCCCTTTTGGGGTACCCTAAATAATAGGTGCCGTATTATAATAAGGACCCAAAAAGGGACCCTAATTTAGAGAACTACCCATATCCCGAGTGCTCGGAGTCTCCACCACCGCCTCCCTCCCAGACCTAGCCTCCTCGATACTCTCTGCCTGCGGAAATCGAAGAAGGGTTTACGGGATCTCTTCATTTCTATAGGTTTAGGGCTTAGGGTTTTGGGTTTAGGGTTTAGGTTTAGGGCTTAAGGGGTTTAGGGTTTCGGGTTTGGGGTTTAGGGTTCTTTTAATATGGCTTCCTTTAAGGCTCCCGGTTCAAGGGCTACTATCAGGGCCGATCTGGAGTCTGGGCCCTGGTTGGGTGTTTCTAGGGATTCTAGGGGGGTTCGAAAGAGCCTTGCGAGGGTTTGGTAGGCTTTGACATGGGAGTTTCCGAAAATACGGGGTACCTTATTTTGAGGTCCTTATAATAAGGATCTACTATTTGGGCTACTGTTTTAGGGGCCCCCTATTTTCGGAACTCCCCATATGGTTCGGTAAAGCATTTTCGAGCGAGGGATTGGGTGAGGGTTTCGGGTTTAGGGATCCTTAGGCAGGTTGTGCTCGTTACAATTTGAGATTCGGAAAATGCAGGGAACTTGACAATTCGCATAGGGTTTGAGGCTGTATTCTGCCATAATATATTGACAAAGACCCTCCAAACTGCCTAACTTCCGGCTTCTATATCTTCTCTTTTCAGAGACCTCCAAATCCACCGCAAGCCAGACCGCTCCAACTCTGCACGACACGCTAAACCCTAAACTCTAGGCCCCAGGCCCCAAACTCGAAACCCTAACCCCAAAGCCCCAAACCCCAAACCCGAAACCTTACGAAGATCCTTTAGGGTTTAGGGTTTAGGGTTCCCAATCAGTAAACCACCCGGGCACTGGCGGGCGACAAAAGCGTCGGGCAGTTGGATGAGGGCGTGTGTGGCTTCGAATTCAGGGTTTTGGGTTTGGGACTCCCTGTGCAGAAGCCTCAATAACTGGACTATTGTCTACGCGAGGCTTATAGAGGCAAACCTAAGTAATATTGCTGACGATAAACGCGCATATACAGTAAGTAAGTTAGCTGTAGAGTTTTTCACTCAGCTACTTCTAACCCGAGTATAGCCGACTTACTACACTCCATGATCGCTCAAGCAGCCGAAACCATAAACCCCACAACCTGCACCCAAAAGTTCCAAACCCTAAGTCCTGAAACCTCGACTCCTAAATCTCTGTACCTAAAACCTAATTCCTACACCCAATTTCCCCAAAAAAAAAAACACATGCACTACACGCATATAGATATATATATATATATATGACTTGTGGAAACCCAGGCTCTGGTTATCATCATTACTAGTACTATCATGGCTCAGACATTTACATGCACATGTACACATGCATATGTACATACACATATACGTATATAGATATATACACATGTAGATATGTGTCTATACATACGTAGATACATACATAAACATATCATATTCATGTGCATCTACATCTATAATCGACATGTCTATGACCTCTGGAGCCCAGCCTCGTGCATCACCCACTTCCACAAGTGGACCCGGCCACCGTTTCCGGCACCCAGCACTCCTTCCACCTGGGCGGCTGCTATGATTGGAGGTGTTGGTGTTTAAGGTTGCTTGTACGGATCTTTAAGGGCGGTTTTCGGTTAGGGTTTAGGGTTTAGGGTTTAGGGCTCTTAGCCAGGATTCGATTCTTCGGGTCAAGACCAAAGATTGCCTCAAAGTTGGAAGTCCATTTCCGCCAATGTTTGGCTGGCTGGTCGAGATAACCCCTCAACCGTAAAACCCAAAACCCCTAAACCCAAAACCCCCAAACCCTAAACCATGGAACCCTGTTGCCGCTCCTTCCTCCCCAAAGCCAAATCCCTCTCAAGAACCCCAGCGCCATCTACAAGCTCGAACTACTCAGTCCCACCACATGTCCAAAACCCACTTTAAAGGTGCCCCTTTTATGGAAACCCTGTACCCCTATAGAACCCTGAAGGGAATCCTTCAATAGACGTTTGGGGCTGAGGGTTGAAGGTTCAGAAGTTGGCGGTGAAGAAGTTTAGGGTTTTGATCTCGGATAAGGTTTTGGGTTTTGGGGCCTATAGTTTGGAGTTTATAAGCTTCGTAGGGTTCAGGGCTTCAAGTGGTCATATACAAAGGTTCGTTCAGGGCTTGCGAGGGGTTTGTAGGCCTGTAGGGTTTGCAGCTTGGCGTTTGGATATATGGTGTCAGATCTCGGTGAGATTTTAGCATGTATGGCTTTGGGGTTTCAGGGGATCTGGATGGTTAGAGGCTCATCGTTCAAAGTTTCATGGCGCAGAAGTCTCCGAGCCTTGCTCAACGCGAAAGCCAAACGCCTACCTGGGCCTGGTATGGGGGCCTGAAGGAACAAGAACAGGATGTTAAGGCACACTACGGTACCACTAGACCACAGAACCCTACCGAATGATATTGGTAAGCATCCAGGCCCCTATAGTGCCGGACATCCTAAACCCTAAACCCTAAACCCTAAACCCTAAACCCTAAACCCTGAACCACTAGAGGAAGCAGATGAAATTCTTCGGGTAACTAGACCTTGATCCGCTCGCTCTAAGTACGGAAGATCCGCACCCGCGCATCCCTCCCAGGGAGGGTTTAGGGTTTAGGGTTAGGGTTTAGGGTTTAGGGTTTAGGGTTTATGGTTTAGGGTTTAGGGTTTAGGGTTTAGGGGTAAACACCAAGAGCCCTAAACCCTAATACAGAGGGGGCCTTACTAATTAGAATAGGGTTTCGAGGCATAAATTTATATCATCAACAGAATACCCTAATACCCTAAAACCCTAATACCCTAAAACCCTACAACCCTAAAACCCTAAACCCTAAACTCTTCAATACTATACCCTAAACCCCGCGAGAGCCCCCCTATTAAACAACAACCCTAAACGCCGAAACCCTACACCCTAAACCCTAAACCCTAAACCCTAAACCCTAAACCCTAGAGGAAGCAGATGAAATTCTTCGGGTAACTAGACCTTGATCCGCTCGCTCTAAGTACGGAAGATCCGCACCCGCGC